GAGACCAGGGGTTGCAGCGAAAGGAGGAGACTGCGCCCCCACAGCCTGTACCGACTACGGAAGAGGACACATCTAGTGCGGAAAAGGGTGCCCTGAAGAATTGACCAAATACAAGGGCTTGTGAGGCTGTATAGATGGAGGAATAAAGGAGGGAGTCTCGGAAATGGCTGTATTTCGGAGCGGGTTACCACCGTAAGCCGGTAAATTTGATGAATTACTACTTTGGGCTCGCAACGCCACTATGCGAGAAGTTATTTAACCATATCCCCTTTTAATACAAATTTTAGACCATCAAATAACTTGTATGGGATTGGATATTGCAATCAGGCCTATCTTCGGGTGAAATTCAGGTGGATAAAATGTCAGCTTCACGTGGGAAAAAGAAAAAAATACGCCATTTTGCCACTCGGCCAGATCAAAAACCAGGGTCTCGAATTATGGCCAAGAGGGGTAGATTGATCCTTTATCCCCGGATGAAACGTCATGCACGGGCGGCCCCGCAACCCGTAACCACTAAATTTCATATTCTCCATACCCCCACGCCGAAGGATTTCTTATCGGGGTTGACAAACCGATTAGCGCATATTTTTGGTAACACGTTCATCATCCTTTAGCCTATAGCTTACCCAAGCTATACTATTCCTTGAAACACTATCTTACCAAAAATGAAGTCGAGCCAACTTCTCATTGTTGATATACAAGGATCTAACTGTATTTAGTTCGTATCAAGGTTTTACTGTCGTCTGTTTATCTTGAACTTGTGGAAAGGATCGCAAATATTGGAAACAGACCAAAAAATAAGCCAAAACAAACTAAAGATTTGCAGATAGATGGATAGACAGGGGCCAATCATGACCGTTTGCGCGCTAGGACCAAAGCGCTGCCCCATTCCACATCAACCTCGATGGCCTTCCAATCCACGCTGTTTCGGGATCCTTCTCCGCGTAATGCAGGCTCAGCCTCCCGAATAGCATCCATCATCCGGTCAATCACATCGCCATCACCACTTCCATACTCTTCGCGACGTTTCTGGTCCGGGAACTGCTGCTGCCACTTGTGGAATGAGCTCCACGTACGCATGTACTCCTCCATTGCGCCAAGAGTCATACGCGCACTCATGAAGCGTGTACCCTGGCCACTGCCGAGACCCTGCGTACTAGGTTCATATTCAACGCGCGTAATATCATACCATTCAGCAGCCGGGGGCACCACAGCTCGCAGCTTCTCCTGCACAATGCGTCGTCCAGGCTGCTGCCAGTAGCTTCCCAAGAGGGTTGGATCTTTCTGGTAGGCAAAGTGTTCGATGATATCACTCGCTTTGGGATGCGACACCAAGACGTGATCCTTGTACCCCCAAAATGCCAACGTACCCCCGGGCTGCATAATGCGCGCCAGCTCGGGCCATAGCTTTGGGTAGTGGAACCAATGAGACGCCTGGGCGGCAGTCACGAGGTTGACTTGTCGGTCATACACAAATGGGGAAGACTCTGCCGCGGCTTGATGGAAGCTCACGTTAGGATACGTTGCGGAGGAACCTGTTGAGATTTCACGGGCTTGGGCGATCATCCCCGCTGAAGGATCGGTGCCGATCACGCGGCCAAAGTGAGGGGACAACTCGCGAGCTACCAGACCGTGCCCGGTACCAAGGTCTAGAGCCAGCGAGCGCCCGGCATCTGGAGAGCCCTGGTGGAAAGACAGGACTGCTTTGTACAGTTCGGCTGGGTAGGTGGGCCGAAAAGCTGCGTAGCCTTTGTGCCCAAAGGACTTGCTTCTATTTCGAACTGGTTAGAACTGATACATGTGATATCTCAAAAAACCCAAAGAATTCAACCAGGAGATACACAGGCCAAGCCGAGAATGGCAGACTCACAAGAAAGACGCCATGACTGTGACGCAATCGTTGGCTTTTTTTTTTTTTTTTTTTTTTTCAAGCCAGTAAAGGAGGGCCAATTTAACAGGGAATTATTTGATGGGGGGAGAGCAGATGGCTGAGAAAGTCAGACAGGATGGGATGGGGAAAGACACGTATGAATACGGAGTGCCTCCGAGTTCTCTTCGCCGGCGATCCCGATCCTGATCCTTCGCGCCGTCTGCACGGATACTTGGATTGGACCGGCGGCCGAATCTAGCCCAGGGTTTATCGAGATCGACAACCTGACTCTTCACAGAGAGGTTCGTCTCCGACCCGGTTGCCTTCAACAAGGGGCGATACCGTGTGGGTCCGGGGCACATAACGTTACGTTGAGAACCCTGAAAAGTACTTTTGTCACGGGCTGACCCGTCCCGTCCTGCCCTACGCCGGAACTATCAAGATCTCCGACCACCGAGCCAATGACAGGTACACTTATTTTTAAGCAAGTGGAAGCCAAGAATCAGTCAAATATCCGGTAACGGACTGTATGTAATGAAATGTATGACCCGAAATTCAGAATACTCAGATGTTATAATACAAGGCCTGTGAGATCAGGGACACAATCGCACCATTGAGAAGAATTCCGGTGATTTTTTTAAAAAAAAAAGCCAAGTTGGTTGGAAGCCGACTTGATATTCTCGCTATATATAGCCTTGCATATTTTCTCGATAATACAACAAACTTCCTTTTGATTTACAACAATCTATCCGAATCAAATTGCTGATCGTCTTATTCCAAGGTCAGCTAAGTATACGAGCCCTAGATAATCTTGTATATACTAACCCCGGTTGAATAAAAGTTACGCGCTTGTGCTAGGGCATCTTGGATGTTTAAAATGCAAGTAGTATTTCTGCTTCTTTCAAAACACTCCGCTCATTCTGTAAAGTGCTTCGCCATCACTCGATCATAAAAAGAATCCATGATGGCTACTATGAAACAGCCGATGCCCGGCAAGACCATCTCAGCGGCACCTGGAAGCACGGCCGTCTATGGTATGAATCCAAAAATCATCATATAATGAGTCATGCTAAAGTCTAGCTTCCATATGTAGGCGCATTAGCAGGCATGATGGAGGCGTTAGTCTGTCACCCACTGGGTAATTGAGTGTTCTTGACAAAATAATGTGCTCCGTATCAATTAATGCTGACCAAGATCAGATACTATCAAAGTCAACATGCAAACCAAGAACACGACAGCAACCCTACTCCCACAGAAACCCGGAGGTATGAGACACCACCTTTACATATTTCTAGCGCAGTCAACTCTAACAGAAAATGAGCGGCGTTTCAGACCAAACGTTGGTGAGAACAATACAATCAATATATCATCAGTCTCCAACGGCATTCTATCGCGGCCTTGGAGCAGTTCTTCTAGGGATCGTGCCTAAAATGGCCATTCGATTCGCCAGTTTCGAAACATACAAGACTATCCTCAAAAGACCTGATGAGAAAGCTCTCACCTCGGGAAGGCTAATCCTTGGTAAGTTCAGCACAGGATCTTAAAATGAGAAAAAGTATCCTGATGTCGTTTATCAATTCAGCCGGTTTAGCTTCAGGAATTACAGAAGCAGTTCTTGTTGTAACTCCAACAGAGGTTCTCAAAATTCGCTTACAGACTACAAAGCCACGAGGTGGTGTACCTGGTGCCGTGGCTATGGGATACAGAAATACGCCGGAGGCGCTGTACACCATTGTACGGACAGAGGGTGTCAAGGTTTTATGGACCGGCATAGGATTAACAGCGGCTCGCCAAGGGACAAATCAAGCTGGTAAGTGTCAAATTTTGCCTTCCAAGCCACGTTGTTATAAGGGCTTTTATTCTGATGTTTATGCCTCTAGTGAATTTCTTCGCCTACACGAGAATCCGTCAGGCTCTGGTGGACAGCCAGCCGCAGTACCATTCTTCTGGTCTACCATCCTGGCAGACTGGCTTGAATGGCTTTCTAGCCGGATCCCTCGGTCCTTTGGCCAATGCTCCAATTGACACGTTAAGTATGTTATATCTATAACGTATAGAAAGCATCGCTGATGATTCTTTAGAAACTCGGATTCAGAAAAGTGGCAACAGCGGAAATGAATCGGGGCTGTCTCGTCTCATCCACACGTTCCAGGATATTGTGCGTCATGATGGTTACAGGGCTCTGTATAAAGGGATTCTGCCTCGCGTGTTGCGAGTGGGCATTGGTCAGGCTGTTACCTTTAGCACGTATGAGGCGTTGCGACGATGGTTGTAATAGATACGGGCGTTGAACCGGAATTATCATACAAGTAGCCGATAACGTCTTAACTTTAGGGAATAAGATGGAAGAATTCATGTGATATTAAGTTGTTCCGTAAATCGTATCAATTCCACCAATACACTTCGCCCATAAAGGGCCCTTTGGACGTTCTAAGGCGCGCTCGAACAAGCCGGGCTGATGAAACCCCGTGTTTGAAGAGCAATTTAATCCTCGGATTGCGAACAGTTATTCTATCAGACTTTGCCCATCTGGGAGATACCAGCAGGAGCCACTAGAACCAGGGCGAACGATGATAGGTACGGGCGAGTGAAACTAGCTCACAGAAAGAGGTTCGACGATCGGACAGCCTAAGCTAGGCTTAGGGCTTATTCATGGTGGATACTGACTAAAGTAGCGCAATCTTGGCATCTGGCATCGTAAGCAGGGCCCCGCTCTCAGGGGGGAACAGGAGTCCCTGACGAGTTCTTCACTACAGAGTTTGCGGATCCCTTCCGGTCTAGCTTAAAGCTTAGGATACGTAGACTAGAGTTTGTCCTGTAAGATGCTGTCGCCACCCCCTCCCGTTATAGTATGTGGACACGATAACCAGTTATTTATTTTTATATGTTTTAATACGATACCGAGTTCATTTGTACAATCATACATTCTTTCCCATGTTTGAGTGAGCGTTAATCGGCGTTTGCAATATCCGAGATCGGCAATTTCACTTTCTCCCTAAATGCATTCAACGGGTATTCTAAATAAATATAAGTACTCTGACATGACGCTTCTCATCGACGCTCTGCCCCAGCTCGCGTTACCAGGAGTACTCATTTTCAGAAACACACAAGAACTGGGTCCCGCTTTATCATGGATCTTACATTGCAGCCTGGCGACAGCTTCCCGGACAATGTCGTATTCCAGCAAGATTCCCATCTCCCTATCTCTAATAGTAAAGCTCATGTATGCTAACAACCGCTCCTCAAGCACAGATACATACCCTGGACAGAGGAAACGAGCTCTGTGACCTCGTGTGGGGTTGCGATCCCTTACAATGCTTCGAAGGAATGGTCTGATAAAAAGGTCATTTTGGTTTCTGTTCCTGGTATCCTCTTCTCTCACTTCCAGTTGTTCCTACGCTACATGCATGTAGAAAATTAATTGACCCATCTTCAATAGGCGCCTTTACCCGGACATGCTCCGGTCTTCACCTCCCCAATTACATTGACAACCTTCCCACACTTAAGGAAAAAGGTGTCGACTTGGTGGCGATTATTGCCTTCAACGATGCAAATGTTATGAGTGGCTGGGGGAAAGCAAATAATGTTACGAATAACGATATTGTATGGCTTATGAGACGATGGAAAATGATACGCAGCTAACGCACTTTACTTCAGATATTCCTCTCTGATCCCAATGTCGGGTTCTCAAAGAGTATTAATTGGGCAGACCCATCGGGTCATCGGGGACTTCGTTATGCCATTGTCATCGACCATGGAAAGGTTGTCTATGCACAGAAAGAGACCGAACGGGGCAGTATCCAGGTAATATCTTCCGTGTCATTTCTATCATTACTTCCGGCATGGAGCATAGAGCTAATTCAAGATGCCCTTTGTTTGCGCAGAACTCGGGAGTCGAATCCATTCTTCCGTATTTATAGATTCTGTGGTTGTCTAGTTTGTTGGCCCAGATTGATTTAAAGGAAATGAGAGTATAAGGGCCTGATTTGTGACCCTATTGATCATACTCGAGAGTTGACTTGAATTACCTGCCTAACAGAGAATCAAAGCTTTGAGTATACAAAGTCTAACTTTCGATTCCCATTATTACAAAATAAAGATCTGGCCAAAAAGGAGATAAAAATATACGGCCGCAAGGATATATTATTACCTCTCCAACATTATTACTTTAGGACTTAGGTTAAGACACCTTGCCTGTACAAAAGTCTAGGTACCATACATTGGAGCAGTGACTGAAACTAATATTCTTGAAGTCTAGGCCCAAGCCGGCTCTCTTACAGAAAGCATTTTATCGAATTCCCAGACAATTCATACGTTTGGACTCTGATCTAGATTAATGGGCGAGCTTGAGAGTACTTGCAGGCTTCAAGAAAGCTGGAAGATAGGAAGGGTGCACTTTGGGGCTTTCTATTCTCCTCGGTATCATCTATGCTGCATTCGGCCTGTCGTTTTGACAAGAATCTGGATGCCAGCCAGAGCGGATATGGCAGATTTCGCATATATCTTCATGTTCCTAGTGACTCTATTCATTAACTTACAAAATTCTGGCCATCAACTAGTGTGATCTTATCTATGTTTGTGGCGGCTACAAGCTTGACAGCTGACTATGTTTCATTCTCGTACCCACACAACCCGATATCTAAGTGTTGCCGGAAATTTTGCTATACAACCTCACTGGCAAAACAACTGCACTCGTTAGAACAAGCGGATCCAGCAAGAGTACCGTTATTCGCTTAATTGAGCAATGGTATAATCGATTACTAGGAGCAGTGAAACTTAACTGCTGCCAGTGTATCAGAATGGTCAACCTCGAATGGCCGCGCTAGCAAGTGAGAATTATTCAGCAGAAGTCCATTCTCTTCGCCGGCATAGTAATGGGAAATACTGCCAATAATCTAGTTAATACGCCGTAGGAGAATGAACTCTAGGCTAAGAAGCTAGCCCGGATATACGAAGCCACCAAAGTTGACTTTACTTATAACTTTATCACTAAGCTTCCTAATAGATATAACACCATCATTAGAGAGAGAGGAGGATTACTATCTAGAAGTCAAAAGCAATGTATAGCAATTGCTCGAAGCATTGCCTTATAGCCTCGAGTTCTTCTCCCCGATAAGGCAACCAGTGCCCTTGACCTCTATATCGAAGTCACTCAAAAAGCTCTTTACAACGCTTGCCAAGGGCACACAACCATTACCAAAATATACAAGCTGGCAACTATTCAGGATGCCGATAACATTGTTATTATAGAAAGTGGCCGAATTCTCGACACCAATTACTCTTTACTTAAAGCAAATAGCCGCCCTTATTCGAGATTTATTGGAGGCCAAGACCTATCTGTCGCCGAGGACTTGCCAGACGGCTCTTTAGACAGCAAGGATGAAATAGATAACTAAGCAGTATTATATCGAGCTTACTAACGAATTGCTCGATACTAGACATTTAGGAAACCGGACTTAGAGAGGTCTGGTCAAATCGACTCCGGAGGTCAAATGGATTTTCTTAATTCTGGCCTTGGCATGTCTAGTCTCTAGTAAGTGTTTTATGTATTAAAATCAAACTAGAGAGATTACGACTAACCAAGCACAGCTGCTGCATTCCCTGGACAGTCTATCTTAATGTCGAGATTTATTAATACTTTTGAGCTCACTAGTCTAGCAATATAGAAGAATGAAACTTTGTCGCTCTTAGGTTCTTTATCAAGAGACTCGGAGCACTAGTCGCCTACTTTGTTCTTCGATTATGCTCAAGCGTCGTGGTAAAGGTTCGCATCCTTATAACGCTTCCACCTGAGTATCGAGCTAACTAAACCCTTGAAAGGCAACGAACCACAAATACCGAAAACAAATTGTCAACGACATGCTCGGACAAGACTTGCGGTTCTTTGACAGACCTGAAAACCCCACGAGTGCCCTAACTAGCCGTACAGACTTTTTTCTATAGGCTGTGCTTGAGTTGATGACCTTCAACGTCGCTCTTATTATCATTTCTGGTATTGGTGTGCTGTCTTACTCGATCTGGCATTGGCTTATGCATAAAAATTAGGACTTGTCATTGTTCTAGCGTAATTTTCACCCATGCTTGTTTCCAGCTATTGCAAAATTTATATGGAAGCTGCGGTGGATGTCAAACTCTCTGGTGCTGAAATGCTGCTTTGGGGGCGGCAGCCTCCGGGCCATGGATATTGCCATGATTTTCTGCTAGAGTTATATTGCTAAACTGGAAGACACTGATAGTCTCTCTAGTATCGAATTTAGTCTACACCTGGACCCCTCTGAGACCTTGTTCGTCATTAATCGTAGTGGGAGCATGAAGTATAAAATCCTCACTATACGATCGACTCTGGAGTTGTTCCTCAATTTCTTTCCGTTAGGTGTACCTTTCAATTTTAACGGATCGTATGAAGTTCAAACTTAGAATATCAAATCATAATAGCTATATTAGTATATATTTCAATTCTAAACGAAATCTAACTGGCGGAAATCGAGATATCACGCGAAATATAAAAGTTAATATTTTGATATTAGATAACTATATATTTGGGGATTTGCATAGATGTACTATTACTTTCTAGCTAAACCTCTGTAATTTTCAAATTATCTAAATCAATATATTTTTTCGCGTTTTCAAGCGTAATATAAAAATATAACTAGTAACTGATTCTAGACCATTCAAATTATAAAATATTACCTTATATATAATAGTAAGAAACGGTGCTAGATATAGAGTAATTAAAAAAACTGAATTAGCATCTCGATTTCTCGGCATATTTGTATTGTTTGGGGCCCATTGAGCCCCCACAAAATCCAGGTGGGCCCCAAACCCGACCCCATTTGCGGGTTCGGCCCGGGATGGGCTTTTGGCTTTGTGGGCTCTGTGGAGGTCTAATCGGGCGAACCAAGATCATTCCGCGCCGTTCATAACTAAGAGAGCTGACCAGATAAAAAGCGATGGTGGACGACAAATATTCTCCCTAAGAATGCTGGACAGTTCGACACTGGTACTTGGGGCCTATAGACAGTTATCGCTAAGTCCTAGGTATTGAACTGAAGTTTCCAACCTGACTTGGGGTCAGTAGCAAAGCAGTGTTGGCCACGGTCACTCCCTCTGAGAGATAAAAGAAAGCCGGTGGGGAATAGTTTCGGAAGTGGAAATCCTAAACATCGGCCAGCATGCTCCAAAATGGGCTCTCGAAGAGGAGGAAGGGTCTTCAGGCTTCCATGGACTGAGAGGATCCAGTGTACCAAATCAGGTTCAGGGTAGGCTCATCATAGTGCAAAGGACCTAAGGTCAATTCAGTCCCAGTACTGCTAGCCCCGAGCTACTTGAGATATAAGTTTTTATTAGGCGCCAGGAAGGTCTTCCGACACTAGTATGGGAGCACCTGTGGAAGTATACAGGAAAGCTCATCACCTGGTTTTTCACCGCGTCCAACGATTTAGGATACCGCCCGAGACTAGAATACATAGGCCGGACTTAGTTGGTTACATATCATGGCTGCAGGCATTGATGGATTTAACTGTGCAGATGTAGGTACTGGGTTCTGGCGCTAAACTACTATTAATGTGTTGTGGCTGCTACAGATAGTAGAGGCCAGTGAGAGAGGAGGGAGAGAGTTGATTGCTAAAGAGAGCAATCTACCGACTATCTACCTAGGTGTTGATGTCTGAGGCACCAACCGGCTGTGGGCGTAAGGACATCGACATACAGGAGGATTCATTAATCCTCCATGGTTCTCTTTTGTCTTTGATTCGGGGGTTGACGATCGTATGATGTTTTTGTCGGATTTCTTAGCCTCCATAACCTAGCTTCAACAACAATTCAATCTCTATCTCACATTCCACCATGCACTTCGACGTGCACTATATAGTCCTCTCCTGACAGTTTTCTCGTCAATATTTTCAGATATGATATCTACAACGATGTTTCATACCTGCAGACTCTACTGGTTTTTGGCTGCAACCTCAGTGTAATAAAACTATAGGGAAGTGTAGATAGGTATTGCTACCAACGAAATTCCAACCCACTAGTCTGTCAGATACCTTATTAGATTTCCAACACAACTCTAAGTCAACTCCTAGTAACACTTTAAAATTGGAAGGTGTGCAAGCTGTGGTTCTTAAGCACTGTGGAGCTCCAAAAACAACCCATATTCCTTTATTCCAGTCACTCGGGTCCTTCCTTTCATAACTCACACCCTTATCTCAAAAATCAGGCGACATTTCCCCCGACACAATCAGTGCGACATTGTGAAAACCCGGGTTATCAGTGTTGTCACCCTGATCCCTGTCGACGCATGGCCCCCGGTGACATCATAAGGTGAGTGGGAAACCTTCACCGACTGGTTGGGCTCTTGGCCATCTCAGCCGCTACAATGCGGGGTAAAGAGGGATGACAGAACAAGCTTGATATTGTGTGCCTTATGCCAATGAGAGGCGTTTTTTTTCGATTTGATCTGATGGTCGCGGTCCTGAAATGGTAAATGATCGGTCGATCGGACTGGTTTTGCGAACTTTATGTCGCTATGTTTCTGGTTTCTTTGGATGAGTCCACAACATCGGGGATTACCTTCTAGAATGATGTTTTCTTCGAGATTCCTGTTTTCTGAGTTCTAACATTTGAAGCCTATGAGTTCAGATCATACAAATAATCCATGTAGGATTATGGAGCCATGTGTCCCCCGATGACCACGAGTGACAGCACATAAAAGCCATGCGCCTGTGACCCAACTTGGCCCCCTGGGGCCTGGTGTGACTTATTCTTTATTCTCCCAGCCTATCATCTTGGCAAAACATATATCGGCTAGGGGTAAATTGTCGGTGTCATTTCTGGGCTCCATATTTCCGGGTTATTTTCTTGTCTTGGGGTCGGGCTTTCCACTACTTTTTTTCACCCTTGCATAATGCCCTTTCTAGTTTTCTCTTTTCCCCAAGGTGAAATTTAGTAAAAATGCTAGATCCAAGGGACACCAGGTCATGTTACTAGTCTTTCGAAGTTTTGACCTTGATCAACAACCCTAAGCCCCTAGTCTGAAGTGCCTTGCCGCATCTGGCCCAGCTTGGCGATTTTATCCACATATTCTAGTCTCCGGTCACCCCTAGTCAACCACACATGAAGATTAACTCTGACCCGTGAAAGATCTTCCGGCTTAACATCTCTCTACGTTATGGATTTACAGCACAGCCGAGCTCTGGCTGACTGCAGCGATGGACCTATTACATATTACATGCCACCATACTTGGGACTTTTAATCGTCTAAAACTACGCCCAGCAACGGGGATACACTGGCATTCACCCAGTTATCGTGCAGTTATCTAGGGATACCCGGTCCTTTTGAGAATCAGAAGTCCAGACTCAAACAAAACAATGCCCCAACGCTGACCAAACTTAACATCCTTTGTGCCCTCGGGATCTATTCAGGGTCCTCGATGTTGGGGGATATTTGAAAGAAAGACATATTTCTACGGTTCTTGTTCTAGTCTGAGGTTTCTTCATATTGACTATTTTTGCTTCTTTTGTTTCCTTTCGTTTTTGTGGTCCCCTAGTGATCCAACCCTTCATTCACCTGCAAGCCATTAAAACGCCTTCCAGGTCCCTTTTAGCCTTCAAATACTCTATAACGCAGCCCTATAATTGGGCCCCACTAAAATGAATATACGAAACATAAAAGAAAAAAAGAAAAAAAGAAAAAAAAACACGAAGTGCCAGCACAAACTCGCACATGAGTGGATAGTCCAAATTACTTTTCGCCAAGTCCCGATGCCACCTGATGGACCCCCACATCAGGCGTTGCGGTTGATGCTTTTCTTCACTAACTCTCCTCTCTACTGCTCGGGATAATTATGCCCCTCGGAGCCAAGCAGATACCGGGCATGTGGTCTTACTTTCGTTCTCTTGGTACCCTCACTCCAATGCGGACCCTGTTCCCCTACCTTCAGACAATGGCGGTCAAATCTACATATAAGAAGGGCTTGCCTCCCCTGCCCTGGTTAATTTAGATCTACATAATCAGCGAGTCTATTCTTTCAGACTTTCACCCCCGGATCAATCATCCAATATGCGATCTTCTTTCTTCAAATCTACTTCCATCTGGGCTCTACTAACTCTATCCCTTCTTCCCGGCGTCCTGAGCTCGCCTCTATTCGAAAAGCGAGCAAAGGGGGCCTGGCTGGGCCTAAACACCAATTTCCCAGACCCCAGCTTCATGAGAGCGGCCGACAACAGATGGTACGCATTCGGCACCAACGGTAATGGAAAGCGGGTCCAAGTTGCCGTTTCGGATGACTTCAAAACATGGACACTTCTCGATGTGGAAGCCCTTCCCACATTATCAACATGGGAAACCGAGGATGATCACTGGGCTCCAGATGTTGTGATGAGAGTAAGTTTCCTCGGTTTCCGAAAAAAAAAATTTAGAAGAAAACAAACAACCAAACAAGGCTAGCCCTATCTCCAAAACAAATATCTAATTTCCTCACAGGACGACGGAAAATACGTTATGTATTACTCCGGCGAGGCAAAGTCAAACCTCAGACACCACTGCGTCGGCACGGCTATCGCAGACAAGCCAGCGGGACCCTACGTCCCAAGCAACACGCCCCTATCATGCCGTCTCGATCAAGGCGGGTCAATCGACCCAGCAGGATTCAAAGACAAAGACGGCAGTCGCTACGTCGTCTTCAAAGTCGACGGTAACAGCGTCGGCCACGGCGGCGATTGCAACAACGGCGTCGAGCCGCTGGTTTCCACGCCCATCTTGCTGCAGAAAGTTGGCGCCGATGGTGTCACGCCTATCGGGGATGCGGTGCAGATCCTCGATCGCAGCACTGCTGATGGGGATGGCCCGCTTGTCGAGGCGCCGAATCTGATTCTCCATGGTGATACGTACTTTTTGTTTTATTCTACTCATTGCTTTACCGACCCGGCTTATGATGTACGCTATGCTACGGCGAAGAGTATTACGGGGCCTTATACTAAGACGAATGTTCCTATGATTAATGCGCAGAATACTGGGCTTATTTCGCCTGGTGGGGGGAATGTTTGTGGTTGTGGGGATCGCATGTTATTCCATGGGTTCTGTACTCAGGAGAAGACTAATAGGTGTATGTATGTGGCTGATGTGATTATTGATGGGCAGACGGCATCGATTGCTTGAGGGTTTGGCTATTGTTTTATTTTTTTTATTTTTTTTTTCTTATTTTTTCAGTTGGCTTTTTGTTTGGGCTGCAGCTTTAGCTTTGCGTCCGACTTTCATGAAGTCCGGTCGCTTTGAATGATATATACCCCGGGTTTTGAGGGCTTGAATATTATATGTGATAGCAATAATTTACGCTTTTACAATTTCAAGAATATTAATACTCTTAGAATTGTCTAGAGCATAGTACCATGCTACTCTTTGAATATGTGACCAAAAGACTGTATCAGAAGGTGACACTTGAAAAAGCAAGTGAATACACACTAGGTACAAAGGTTTTGAGTAATCTTCAAACCAATCTTCAAGGAAGTAATATCTGATCTGCACATAAATATGCTCCAATTATATTATTTATAGATGAAATCCCGTATATCGTATCGTTCTAGGCATGCCTGCATGCACCTAAGCTTCATCCTTTCCTTCTCCCTCCGCCTCTCGCTCAGTAGCACGTTTCTTCTCCCGCGTCGTTTGCACCCACTCTGCTACACCCTTAATGGCTAGCTCGGGTGTCTCTTTATGATTGAGAAGATATCCCTGGATCTCCGCAGCAGTAAACTCGCCACTCGGAACAACAGCACCAAACTCAGACGCCAAGTCGGGGAGGCGGGATCGGAGGGATACAAGACGCTGCAGGTTTTCCTCTGTACCATTTTCCACTTTCCCATTACTCTCCTCGGAATTTTGAACACTCTTGCCGTTTGTCTTAACATTACCAACAATGGTAGTTGTGGGCAACTTGACTGAACCATTGGTACCATTGCTGTGGATTGCTGGAGCCCCGCGACGCGCAATATCGTTGTCCTTCGCCCCGTAGATCGAGGTGAAAAGCTCCTTGATATCTGCTTCGCTGGTGTACCCGAAACTGATCTTCATATCCACACGGCCAGGGCGGAGGAGAGCTGGGTCCAGCTTTTCCACGTGGTTGGTAGTCATAATGAGGATGCGGCCCTCACTGGCGGCAACACCATCAATCACATTCAGAAGTCCTGAAAGCGTGATTCCACCTTTCTTCGTATTTTCTTTTGCGCCTGTACTATCCGCTGCCGCGGTGGCATCCTTGGCGGTGGCATCATTCACGGGATTATCCGAAGTAGACGTAGATGCAGCTGCGGCGGTCCGAGCCTTCGTAATACCTGCTGAGTCGATATCTTCGAGTAGGATAATGCATCGGCGTGGTAGCTCCGAGAACAGTAACGACAGAGCCTCCTCGTCCAAGGCCGTGGAATTCAAATCAAGTAAGTAGAGCTTCAATCCAAGGATTCCAGCCGCTGCAAAGCACAGACTTGTCTTTCCAGTTCCCGGAGGACCGTGTAGAAGGTATCCGCGTCGATACGGGATTCCACGGTTGGTGTACCAGCGGCGCGTGCGAGGGTGCAAGTACTCCTTGATATCATCAAGGAAGTCTTGCTTTTGTTCTTGGTCAAGAATAACGGTAGAAAGAGGACGCGGTAAGCGTGCCATACAACGATACCAGTTGAAAGGTTGGCCAGCGCCAATCCGTGAACCGCGGTAGATTACCGTGCGGTTCCTGTCGCGCTCGACATACGCCTGCTGTGCCTCGGCTAGCAATGTTTTCAAAATCGCGGGATTCCGACCGAGACACGAGAGGAAGATCCGCTCGTTGTTCATTACATACCACATCCCCCCGTCCCGGTGTTCGCGTTCGAGCATGAGCGGACGGTTCTTGTACCAGAAGTAATGGGAGCCTTCCGAGGGAGTAAATTGCATCTTCTTATACTTGTCCCGGGTGGTAACCTTGGCCCAGTACGAATCGAAAGAGGCGTTTTTTTCATCGTTAAAGGTCTCTTCGTCGTCGTCCTCGTCTTGTTCGAGGTCCTCCTCGTCTGTTTCATCTTGGCTCCAGTAACTGTTGGTTTTGAGACCTGCGACGAATCGATTTGTATTTTTCATATGCGGCTGGCGGGAGATCCAGAACATTAGATAATGGAATATCTCGTCATCCAGGCGAATCTCGGCTTTTGACACGAAAAACTCATTGAAGTGCGCCCAAATGACAAAGAAAGTGTATCGAGCAGTTGCGCCAAAGACAGCAATGCTGACTAGGATTTGCAGGTAGGCGCTGACATCAAAATCAAGGTAGGACATCAATATGCGTGAGATGAAACCATAGCCGGGGACTAAGACCTCCAACATGGCCGTGTCCGTCGTGGACAGCGGGCCGGTTGAGGTGGGGATGGTTTGGTTGGCATCCATGATCGACAGACCAGAAACCCTCAGGTTTTCGTTCGGATTTTCAGGTAATAAGATTAGAGGGAAAGGGAGGACCCTGAAGATCAAAACCAAAGCACACTCCACTCTTTTATAGGTCCCGGTTAAACCTACCTGAAGAGCCTCATGTGTTGGCCTGTCCCGCTCGGACACAGGACGCACTGAGCTGAGCCTGAGTTGCGCCTGACCCACCTCCTGCGAACTTCGCCTCACAGGATGCAGCGGGGTTTGATTGGATTGGATTGGATTCAGTTGGGCTGCCTAGATTCGTCTGCCTGGACCTGACTCATTGTCGCTGTAGATCGCTGTAGATCGCTGTGGTGCCATTCCTCCCACGTTATGAAGCAACAAAAAATGGGACAACCTCTTGAGTACGGTTAGGCGCTAGATGCGCATCAAATTATAGATAATTAAGAAACATACCAGTAAAAAGTAATTATGAGCAAAAAAAATTCTCTCCCTCGGGGAATCGAACCCCGGTCTCCCGCGCTTATCGGTATTAATGACAAGCGGAAATCATCACCACTAGACCAAGGAAGATGCGATGGTCGAGTTACTGCTCGACCACTTGGCTGGTTGATGGAGATATCTGCGCATTTGGGCTACATAAGGCAAAACCATATAACATCCCAACTTAAAACAACACAACCCTAAGTTGAAGTCCATCTACAACACACAGCCCTCTATAAGTTCATGCAAGCTATATTGATTTATATATTGTCTGCTTTATTCATGTCCATCAATACTTCCACCATATTGTAGCAGCAAGTATGTGTTTACCTATGGTGGCCACAGCAATATATATTTCTCATTTCAAAGTCATGCTCTACGCTTCGACCTCACTTTCTCCGCCGTATACCCCCAGCATCTATCTAGTATTAAGGGAGGAAGTGATATCCAGCATAAATATGAAAAAAACTACCCAAAACGTGAGGGATTATACTAACACGCCAGACAATAGGGGTTTGTTTGCCTATGTTGGTGTTTCAACAGGCACAAATTCATCAAGTATATTTATCAATCTCTCACGTAGTATACTCTTCCCTTCCCTCCTCTTCATCCTCCATCTCCATCTGTTCCTGCTTCCCAAGCCACCCACCTGACCCATCAATCACTCAACTACTGTCTATCTACATCTTCATGTTGTTCATCTACGTCACTTATCCCCTTTATAAAAAAAAAACCAGCCGGAACGGAAATAATGTTAATGATGAAAAAAAGACGGCACAGATTGTCATGAGTCTTAACTATTTCTATTTTTTTTTTTTGGTTCTCCTTTGTAGAATTGCAGTGGTTTGCAATGTTGTTATATACCTTGATTCCCGATTCCCAGTTTGCACCCAACAGCCGCTTATTTAACGGTTCTGTTCACGTCTGATATTTCCGAACTGATTCTGATTCACAGAATCATCGGCGGGGGGCAACGGCAACTGGTGGCTTTTTGTGAAGAACTCGTCTCCAATCTGGACTGTCTCTGACATCCAGTCATACCCTCAGACGAATACAGGCATCGCGCTCCCTTAGGCCGTGACCACGTTCACGAGAGCCAGGGGTTCCTGGGACAAGGAACAGGTGGAAACGGTGTCCGAACTGGGCACCAAATTGAGCATCATTTCTCCTAACCATATGTCTGTGGAAAGAGATTCCAGAAGCAGCCATCTAGAATCTCAGACTTCTCGGATACTTCGTGCTGTATTCACTTCCGCCAGCCGGTATGGGTTTTCCTTTGGCAGGTGGGGAGTGTTGTAGGTGCTTGTGATGTAAAGAATGTCGTCGGTGAGTTCCGGTGTCTGAAGGTCCTGGTCGCCGGTGGGGTTGTATCGATCGTCCGCATACTTCCGCTGGATAGCCTTCAGCTTCGCAATTGCGCCAAAAAGCGGCAAAGGATATGAAAGTTAGCTATGAACCATGAAGCGTTTCCGGGGGTCATTAGCGGGTTGCTCATCGAACCGACCGACTCCTGGGCCTAGTAGAATCCTCAGCTTTGGGTCTAGCCAATAATGGGCATGACAACACCCTGAATATAGGTTTCATACTGGTCCATCTTGAGAGCCGTCGTATCTCTTTGCTGTTTGCTGCTCGAATTAGAGAACGTATATATAATGCTTTGCCAATTGTTACCCATATAGGTATATCTACTAACTTTACAATTGGTAATACGGCATATCTGATTTTACATTGTTAAGACCAGAACAAAGACAGTGTGAAAACAAGAGTTCTGAACATCTAACGTGACGACTATGGAAACTGGTATGCTTGGGGACAGCAGCATTATTGAATGGTCTTTGAATATATGAATCTTGATTTAAAATCTAGCATTCCAGAGCCTGATAGTCTGATCCATAGACCCAGATGCGACCAATCTACCATTGGGTGAGAATGCCACGGAAGTCACCCATCCAGAATGGCCCTCTAGTGTTTTGCGTAGAGCGCCCGTCATAGTATTCCAGAGTTTGACTGTGTTGTCATCAGATCCAGATGCCACCAATTTACCATTGGGTGAGAATGCCACGGAAGTCACCCCTGCAGAATGGCCCTCGAGTGTTTTATGTATAGCACCCGTCATGGTATTCCATAGTTTGACTGTGTTGTCCTGAGACCCAGATACTACCAATGTACCATCAGGTGAAAATGCCACAGAGTTAACATGATCAGAATGGCCTTCAAGCCTTTTATCTCTATGGCCCGTGAAAGTATCCCAAAGTTTAACTGTGTTGTCATCAGATCCAGATACCAACAACATCCCATCGGGTGAGAATGCGACGACATTAAAATAGCCACTAATCGTTCGGTGTATCTCGCCAGTGGTAGTATTCCAGAGTGTGATATCTTCAGCCGCAGATGCTAGAAATACACCATCGGGTGAGAATGCCGTAGAAGTGACCCATTGAGAATCGTTCTCAAGCGTATTGCCCCCACGCGCATTGCCCTCAAGCTTTCTATGGATATCGCCTGCTGAAATGTTCCAGACATTGACTGTAGTGTCACGGGATCCAGATGCCACGAATTTACTATCGGGTGAGAATGCCACAGAAGTCACCCATCTAGAATGGCCCTCGAGTGTTTTGTGTATAGCGCCCGTGATAGTATTCCAGACTTTGACCTTCTCGTCCGTAGATCCAGATGCCACCAATTTACCATCAGGTGAAAATGCCACAGAAGTCACTCGTCCATAGTGACCCTCAAGCGTCTTGGGAAGCATCGCTCGAGCAGTATTGGCACTTTTGCGTCTTTTGTGTTGCAATGGCCGAAAACTTATAGTTTCGGTGGTACCGGTATGGAGAGAAGGTGTTTTCAATTCCTCTGTTTTCGGAGTAAAAGTCTCGAATGCCTCTGGAGTTTGGGTAGCGTTCGACGACGCAAACTTTCCTGTCATTGAGTTAGGTGCTGATGTAGTAGGGGACTCTGGAGACTTGATAGTATTCCATGATGCAAATTGCTCTGTCACTAAGTCGAGCGATGATGTAGAATGTGTCTCTTTGTACGCAAGTGGAGCTGATTTGCGATTATAGGGGGATGGTTGAACAATCCAGCTGTGCTGTAAAGCATCTTTTGCAGATATTCTGCCTGCCGGGGTAGGGTGCATAAGAGACAAGACGAACTCAACCCCCGACTGACTGACCTCGTTGGCCAAAAGTTGATCGGAAGGAAATGTGTTAGGCGTTTGGACGTAGTTGAAGACCAAGCCAGGATGCTTGAATGTAGGTTGCTTGGTCAAAATCTGGAACATAATCTCTCCAGCCGCCCAAATGTCAACGGCATATGGAGTGCCTTTTGGAGCGAATCCGAAGAGTTCAGGAGCAATATATCCAAATGTGCCCTTCATGGTTGTTGATTTTCCAAGGCCATCCTCGATACGTTTGCTGATCCCAAAGTCTGCGATCTTTACCCACCAATCATTTGGTGGACATGATCTCAAAAGGATATTCTAAATATGGTTACTGTTCCCGATCAATTGAGTAGTTGATTTTCATTGTGCAACCGACTCACATTGGGTTTCAAATCACGATGTGCATAGCCATTCTCGTGCATTAAATCAAGGCCCTCGAGAATCTGGGACACGATGAGCTGCGCCTCAAATTCCGGCAGCGGCTGGCTCCGGTCGAGCACATAATCTTGTAGATCCCCCAGCTCAAGATATTCCATCGCAATAAATAAGCTAGCTTCGGTTTGGTACCACCCAAAAGACTTGACAAAACATCGCTCGTACTGCTGATCTGTTAGAAGTGTTCATTGCGCTGAATAGCTGGAAGACAAGCCTTTGTGCGCGAGAATTTCGCAATGGCCTCGAGCTCACGGCCGTAGTCTACCTGGCGGCGCACTTCCATCTGTTTTATTGCACGGACGTCGTGGCCATGACTGTTTCCCTTTGTGCATCTCTCTAGCCACACCTCTCCAAACCCACCATCGCCAATCTTCTTCTCGCGCTGCCAATGTACTGATTTCTTGGTTGGCCGCTGGGAAAGGGATTCCTGCTCATAGTAGGTATGCACTGTCTCGTATTTGCTACCAGGTGGGAAATGTGTCTCAAGCTTAAAATCGAGAACCCAGTCTGGAATTGTCGGCATCGGAAATAACAGAGGAAGGAGCGCGAAAAGAAGCGAAGATATATTGAGAGAATGACGTCGTCGAGGTTTTGTATATATACGTATAAAGTAGTAGATAAGTGAATTTGGAAATCCCTCGAGTCTCAGGGGAGGTTCGGAATGGAGATGGAGGGGTTGCTTTCTAACAGTAAGCGTGCCAAGCTAACACTAACTGGTTCCTAATCGCTAAAATTAGTATGTGAATTCGATACCAAGAGCTACGCGCAGGACCACTAGTGCCACGGAAAGGTGAAAATGTTTTAGACGGTGAGGCTGCAGTTGACAGGATTGTATAACACATCGCGGGTGTGGTATGTTAACTGAGTCAACACCGCAGAGAGTAAAAAGCATTTAAACATTAAATACGTGAGTATGGGTATCTATCGAAATGCAAGGCCAAATGGGACAAAATGGGGCAACATTATCAACTCTCAGACTCCGGGTGCTTGCCCTGAATAGCATCAGCAACTCCACCAGCCCAGTTCTTTAGGTCATCGAATTTGTGCCAAAGTGTGCCCCACCACGTCGAGCCCTTTTCGTCGTCACTTTGATGGTCTGTGGCGGGTGGTGCTTCAGCTGTTGGGGTGGGTTTGTTCGGTGCTGGCTGTGCTGGCTGTGCTGGCTGTAGTGGTTTTGGCTGTGGAGATGATGGCTGCGGTGGCGACGGCTGCGGTGGTGACGACTGCGGTGGTGACGACTGCGATGGCCCTGCTGTTGCTGAAGTTTGAGCTGGGGGATCCGGAGGTGTGTCCAAGACCGGTGTGTTCTCATCCGAGTGGAGCCCAACTGGCTTCAGCGGGAGTCGTAGTGTGCCATTGTTTGGAAGGGGATCGACACCTAAAGAGTCACAGACAATGTTATATACTTCGATGTTTTCTATACAAAGTCGTTAGGTTGAATCTCAATCAATACTTCGGAGTAGGCACTTACGGAAAACTTCGACCCGACTGTTTGGCTTATGCGGGAAGGCTGGGCCGCGCGCAATGAAGATTGCACGCATCAATGGATGCTCATGGTCATATCCGTGGATACCATTAGGATGGTATTGCTTCCCGGTCTTCAGGGCCTCTGAGACGTCGAACTCCGCCCGATTAACGATAGCCCACCCCGTCTTAGGGATGACCCACAACGGCGCAATGCGTTCGTTTTTCGAGAAGTGATACCGTTCAGGCATTGTCTCCAGTGTATAGAATTCAAACGAATGCTCGTAATCCGGAGCTACCTTTTCCAGCTGTTTCCGGAGGGTGTCCAGATCCTCGGGGCGCTTGGGGCGTAGACCTGCAGATGGCCACCCATCAATATGTGCAATCAAATCATAATCAATTAGATCGTCCAACTGGATTAACCTTTCTGTAGAGGTAGTGGCCATGCCGTGGTCTGAGACGACCACGATGTTAACTACCTCGGTAAGATTGCGTCGTTCAAGGCCAGTCATAATGCTGGCGATCATGTTATCCGCTTCGGAAATCGTCTTTCGAATCTCAGTGCTGTTAGGGCCAAATTTATGCCCGTCCTGATCGACGTCAGGAACGTAAGCCACGATAAACTGCGGCCGCTCAGGTGTTATCTGCGATTCATCCTCGAGACCTGGGAGATCCAAAAACTCAAGGACCCGATCCACCTTGCGAGACAAGACTTCGGTCCCGTTGTACTTGTCCAAAAAGGTTGGCTCCTTGTCACCAATGTGCGCCTCAGACCCCGGCCACATATGGATGGCGGTCTTCACACGCTGCTTTTCTGCTGTCACCCAGAGCGGTTCCGCCATCCACCACTTGGGTTGCATGCTCACAGTGGGATGGGTGTAGTAGAATTCCTCCTTCATATTCGGATCCCAAAATGTGTTGCCTACAATCCCATGACTCTCGGGGTAGAGTCCGGTCATAAGCGTGAAGTGATTTGGGAATGTGACGCTCGGGAAGCTGGGGTTCATGTATTGCGGGGAAACGCCATTGGCGACGAGGGAGTTCAGCGCAGGAGTCAGGCCACGGTCGAGAAAGTCGGCTCTGAAACCGTCGAGCGAGATAACGATAGTGGTTGGCGCAAAGAGAGCTGTGCCGTTCGAGAGCAAGGGTGGAGGGTGTGCCCGTGAAGCCCGGAAACCACCCGAGGCTTTATACGCCCCAAGAAGGAGGATGACGAAGAGAATGACGACCAGAGCAATTACAAACAATATTTTTCGCCATGAAGGCCGTGGAGGCTGACCAGCGGACGTGTTAGCAGAAGGCGTAGAAACCGGCCACGGTACGTCTTACCGGCTCATATGTGTATTCGCCTTTGCTGTCCAAATCTAATGATGATCCGCTCAAAAGAGATGCATTATCATCGCCAATCCCCTCTTCCATCTCATACATCAGCTCTCCATCCTCGCTGACTCTCTCACGACGTGACCCCCTCCGCTGTCGCCGCTGCTTTTTCGTCTTCCCAATCTTCACACTGCTACCATTCCCGCTGAAAATTCTCCGCAGACCTTGCCCAGTACCACGGCGTATCAAAAGATTCTCCAGCTCCTCTTCATCTTCTAGCACTGCCCGGTCGTGCTCTGCGATTTCCAGAGTACTGCGGTTCTGGTGGAGGAGGGCGTCATCGTCGGAATCAGAGTCCTGCTCGGAGGGTGACCGCAACGAAGATGCATCGTTGTCGTAATTTGCAGGAGAAAGAAGGGAATGACTAGTGTCTGGGCGGCGCATTGCTAGCCTGATGAAGACATGGAAAAAGAGCTGGGATGGAGAAAAGGGAGATCGCAGGATGCCAAGACCCGGCAATCATTTGCGATAAGCCCGATCTATGAGAATTGCTCGTTATTTCTTTTTTGTTTTTCGCTTCCAATGTTTGTATGGGCTGTTTATTTTGGGTATTTTGTTCATTTTGAAAATTCAATACAATGAGGTTATTTTTAGGAGTATCAAACTCGCCACGTCAAGTTAAAGCTATAATCCTTTGTGAGTTAGTGTGCAGCTTGCTGATTCCGGCTCAACACCTACATAATCGCCTAGGCTCGTTTTAATAGTTTAGAATCCTGCAGCTCTTCCGACGCTTCCATTTTGCCAGGTCGATCCGATTGTGCATTTTCGGTGAGCTAACCATGGATTAATAGCGCATTTTGGTATGAATGTAAGAATAGCTCAGCGGGTAGGACGAGACGGCGAGGAAGCATCTTGACTGTACGCATAACGTAGCCTGCGATGTTATTCCAGTAAGTCTGGTAAGTTCTCGACTTGTTTAGCTGAAATTGAAGTGCATCTCAAATCTCTCTATATCCTAAAGGGGCGATGTAAGCAAAGCCAGGTCCCGAGGTCAGGTGAATAGTGACAGGGGTCTGGGGCTGTTACTTAAAGAGGCCGCCCTCTAACTAATTACTTTCCCTTCAAACATTCATTGCCCTCCCAAACAATTTATGTTCGCTCTTGGGTGTATTCATCTCTACCATGTCCAAGGCTCTTGGACTTACTAGAGGTTTTTTATCAATTAATTTAAAGATTACCACGAAAAATCGTGCCCCGTTGGCCCGCCCTAATGTTCCTAACACCACCGTTGATAATGCCAATGCCGCTCCCGCGCGCGCACCCTCTAGGTCTGGCGAGCAGGCCACGGAGTCTCCTCGTCTGACCAGCGCCAACGTCGCCTGGACTATGATGTCGCTCTGTCTATCCGTGCTCCTCTCTGCCCTCGATTTAACAATCGTGACTCCCGCAATTCCCGCCATAGTCGGCTCGCTCAAGTCTGCTGCCGGTTATACTTGGGTGGGGAGCGCCTATACTCTAGCCTACGCAGCGATAACCCCGGTGTGGGGGTCCGTCTCCGATATCTGGGGCCGGAAGCCGATCATGCTGATCGCGGTAGCCGTTTTTTTGGTCGGAAGTCTTGTCTGCGCACTTGCACCGAGAATGGGCATTTTAATCGTCGGTCGTGCAATTCAGGGTCTAGGGGGCTCGGGTATAGGGATAATGGTCAATATTATTGTCAGTGACATGTTCTCGCTACGGGATCGGGGGCTATATCTCGCCATCACCTCACTTGTTTGGGCGGTTGGAAGTGCAATAGGACCGGTGTTGGGCGGTGTTTTTACAGAGAGGCTGAGGCAGGTGCTGCTTTATTTTGAATAACAACAAGGCTGACCGTTGTTTAGCTGGCGATGGTGTTTTTGGATCAACCGTGGGGCATTCCACTTCATGTGATAGCCCTAAGCTAACTCAACCTACAGTACCGGTCGGGGCTGCCTCCTTTCTCGTCTTACTATTCTTCTTGAGAGTCCAAAGCCCCCGAACCCCAATCGCCGCTGGTTTAAAAGTTATCGACTGGACAGGAAGCGTTCTAATCGTGGGGAGCGCTCTGATGGTCCTTCTAGCCCTCGAGTTTGGCGACGTCGTCTACTCCTGGTCTTCCGCAACAGTGATCTGTCTATTAATTTTCGGAGCAGCAGTGATGGCGCTGTTTGTCGTCAATGAGTGGAAGATTGCCAAGAATCCTATTTTCCCTCTTTACCTATTTTCCTCGCCGGCCAATGCAGCGCCTTACGTTGTCTTCGCGTGCAACTCATACGTCTTCATCGGGCAAGCATTTTACCTACCACTATACGCGCAGTCTGTCCTGAACGCATCATCCCTGATGTCAGGATTATACCTCCTTCCGCTAATCGTCTCATGTGCCCTGGCCGCAGCCGCAGCGGGGGTTTTCATGCAGCAAACGGGGAAATATCTGCCTGTGATGTATATCGCGCAGGGCTTTTTGGTCCTTGGCTCGGGACTGCTAATCAGTCTCAAATTTGAATCCAACATAACCAAACTTATCATCTTCCAGATTCTAGTCGGGATCGGTGTGGGCATGAACATCGAAGCCCCTATCTTGGCGGCTCAAGCTGCTACAAGTGTTCGCGATACGGCTACCGTGACTGCGACAATGGGGTTTGTCCGGTCGCTTTCCACCGCTATCTCAGTTGTTGTCGGTGGCGTGGTCTTTCAGAATGAGATGAATGCGAGGACCGGGGAGTTGGCAAGCCGGCTCGGTTCGAATTCATCTCTAGCCAGCATATTCAATGGCGACAATGCTGCGTCGAGTGTGATGGAAATTAGCACCGTTGGACTGAATGCAGATCAACGAGTCTTAGTAAGGAAGACGTACTTTGAGGCTTTGAGGACGGTGTGGGTCATGGTAGGTCTCAACATTACAACACGTTACATTACCATTTTACAATCCTGTTGAGGTATCTATGCTAATGGAATGCCCTGGTTGCTATTAGTATGTTGCCTTTGCTGGTCTAGCCACCATTCTCAATCTGTTTGTACGGGGTCGTAAGCTCCGAAGTGAGAATGAGGGCGCCGTGCTGGGAGTTGACCGGTCACGGCAAGAAGGGAGCCTTGCCAATGGGGCCGCGGAAATGGAGTTATAGAGTGATTAACATGATTGATGTTGTGCATGTTAACTCGAAAATTGTTTCCTTCTTATTATCACCCGAAGGTGCCGCATCGAAGATCTGTATAAAATTTCTACAACCACATCCCTTTATTAATCACATGAGTTGTAGGAGGAAAAATCGGGTACACATCAATATGTACACCCTACTCTAATCTTTAATATATTCAATCCATCATGTTACAATCCATGCATAGAGAAATTTATGATAATCTTAGGGAAAGAGGTTCAGAGGAGGTTTGCAGTCCTGCACGATAGTGGTAGTTTGGTTGCAAGTTATGCTGTTGTCTCATGCATCTGCACGAACATCACTCCCTATGTTACTCAAACACCAGTATCAACCTTCTTGCTTTTGCCTTCATTCCTACAGATTACATTGGCCTCCATGGCAGCGTGTGAACAAAGCCTCTCAGGGTACCATCAGTTCTGCAGGAACATACATTCCGCAGCTAGTGCGTGGTAGCCACATTCCTCAGGTTGCTCGCTAATGAGAGACCAGAGATTATGGACTTAAGGTGAACGCCGCTGACGTTTTCTCGGGCAGAGAATCGTGAGATTGTAACCGATAGGTGTTTGAGCACACTCAAAGTGAAATCTCTGATGCTCGGTGAGCTTTGTTGATGCAAATTTATTGGAGTTGCTAGGAGATCGACAAAGCGAGCAGCCCTACATGGGGATCAGCCTTAAGGATTTTTGGTGCGCGACTAGCTGTTGAAGGGTCCGATAGAGCTATGAGGGGAAAACCACAAGAGTTAATTCTCAACTAATCTTTTGTGGCCGATTCTAGAACCCAAGAGTGCTCTACCAGATATCAAGTGCGATCCACCTGGCCTACAGCTCGGGGAAGCAGCGATCTTTGCAGCCCAACAGTAATTAAGTAGAGTGCCACCGACGGTTGTCTACTACTCTACCAACTGCCCTCTTTAGATACTTCGCGGATCGAGAGAGCTATCCAGGCTCTCCACCCATTGTCTCCCCCATCCCTTCAGACAACGTATCTTCAGCGTAGGATCCTGAAAACAGGCCACCCCATAAAGACAATCCATTTGAGATTCATTGTGACAGACCTGAAGTGGATTTCTGTGGAATTCCACGGTGATGGAGTGTTCGGCATAGATGTCCGCTTGCGAAGCAGGACCTGCCCAATCGGGACACTGCATCACGTGATCAGGTCCAGCCGAGCCGTGTTCTCCACCGTTCGGACGAACAGCAAGTTTGGGAGATCATGACGAGATGGGCGTCGGGCTAAACCGCTTGTCCCAGGGTTTCAAGGTGGAGTCGAGATCTCAGCAGTGTGACATCCACTCCGGATGCGGAAATCACCAAATCTCACTTCCACTTTACCAAGGGTCCCATCGAGGGCAGAGAGGAACATCGAGGGCCAGAGGAACATCGAGAGGCACATATTCCAAATTGAAAATTTTTTCCTTCTGATTTTTCATGGCATCACCAATTAACCTTAATTATCTATATGCCGGATTTGGACAACTTGTCAGATCTATAAGAATGGCGTTTTCTTCGCTTCAAACTCCCGCTCGTTTTTTATCTCAATCGCATCGGCATTGCCACCCTAGGTAAGTCCTGGAGTAACTAAGTATCTGCTGGTGCTAGTACAAGGAACACATACTAACCCCAATCCCAGCTTCATCGCTCGTTAAGACAGCAAGCCACATCTCGTTTCTTAATCCAATCGTTTTTCATTTCCAATAAAAATGCATTTCACCGCCCCCTCCGTGGCCCTGCTTGCTCTAGCAGCCGGCGTCCAGGCCGGTGGTGCCAAAGAGCAGCATGAGCCTCCCATCCGCGGCGTAAATGGCATTGGCAAGCACCATGCCAGCGGTGCCACTGGCACCGGTGTTGCCCCTACTGGTGTCGTTCCTACCGGTGTTGTTCCTACCGGTACCCAGACTGGCACTCACCCCATTGGGACCGGCCACCACCACCACCACCACAACGGCACCAGTACCCACACTGGCAGTCACCCCATTGGGACCGGCCACCACCACCACAACGGCACCAGTACCCACACTGGCAGTCACCCCATCATGACCGGTACCCACAACAACGGTACCCACGGCGGTGGCAAGAACAGCACTATCATCGGCACTGGCACTATCATCGGCACTGGTACTGCCTCCCACTTCACCCACCACGGTAGCTCGACCATCCCGGTCGAGGTCCCTACCAAGACTCACACTGCCTCTGTCTCTGGTGGTGCTGGCGGCGTTGGCGGTGGCTCTGGCTCTGGATCTGGATCTGGATCTGGATCTGGTTCCGGCTCTGGTTCTGGCAGCAACGGCTCTGGCTCTGGCTCTGGCTCTGGATCCGACTCTGGCTCTGGCACTGGTAGCACCGGCTCTGGCACTGGCACTGGCACTGGCACTGGCTCTGGCACTGGCTCTGGCTCTGGCTCTGGCTCTGGCTCTGGCTCTGGCTCTGGCTCTGGCTCTGGCTCTGGCTCTGGCTCTGGCTCTGGCTCTGGCACTGGCACTGGCTCTGGCACTGGCACTGGCTCTGGCACTGGCTCTGGCACTGGCACTGGCACTGGCACTGGCACTGGCACTGGCTCTGGCTCTGGCTCTGGCTCTGGCTCTGGCTCTGGCTCTGGCTCTGGATCTGGATCTGGATCTGGATCTGGCTCCGGCTCTGGCACTGGATCTGACTCTGGCTCTGGATCTGGCTCTGGCTCTGGATCTGGCTCTGGCTCTGGCACTGGCTCTGACTCTGGCACTGGCTCTGGCTCTGGCTCTGGCTCTGGCTCTGGCTCTGGATCTGGATCTGGCTCCGGCTCTGGCACTGGATCTGACTCTGGCTCTGGCTCTGGTAGCAAGGGCTCTGCCTCCCCCAGCTCGACCGACTACAGCCCCTCCAGCCCCGGCTCCAAGGTCACCGCACCCCAGGTCGGAGTCCTCAGCGCTGTTATTGGCAGCATTGTCTACGGTGCCGTTATGCTTCTATAAACGTCTCGCAGTTACTTAATATTCGCAAGGCTGTCTCTTAATGTGGGTGTTTGTTAGATTGCTTGGTATCTCTTTGTTTCTTTCTGATATCTGATCTTGAAACTAGCTGTCGCTAGGGACTGGATTTGCTTGCAAGATGGGAGTACTGGGATGTCTAGACAGGCGTTGGAGGATATAATGTTTGCTTTTTTTTTTTTTCTTTCGATTTTTTGGAGTTTATTGGTGGGTTATTTGGTAATATATCAGTACTTAATTTAATTCTAATTCAAAGAAAAGAAAAGTGTTTTTAAAATAATATTGTCTCGGTGAATTTGCATATATGAACATACGAAGATGAAGACTAACAGATAGATTCAACAATATCCTCAACCGGGATATAATACTCCTGACAAAGCCAAAACCAACTCCTGCTATGCCTCCAAATACTCTATAGGAATAAAAATCAGACTCATTGACCAAAGTCGAATACCCCCCTAGTGGCAAAATGTAACCCTGCGTATACAGCTAATAATCGAAGCTTGGAACGCAGTCGAGTCGTCCCTGCAGGGTCGAGTGGCGAGCGTCTGCTAGCCGTTTACCACCCCTTGACTTTGCTTTCAGGTTTGTCTGTATAGGTGGACGGGGATTGGCTCGATTAAGGTTTCAGATTGACTTCTGTGTCCTTGATGCAACGTGAGCTCCGCCGTGTAGGGGTTGTGAGAGTCATCCATGGTTGTTACTTTCTTGATATTACGAGATATTAACGAATTCTGCGTGATCGTAGGGTCATGGGTTTGCTAGTTTACAGGATGATGGAGGATTTGGAATTTAAGAGTAACCAGATACATAATTGCTATGCTATAAAAGTGAAATGTATACATACACTCTTTTTCGAGATTCGTCATCATTCACCATTCGCAAGAAAATGAAGCCAAAGAACCACCCCCAAACACCAGAAAAATTACGCAATGCAACGCACATAACAAGAAAATCAAAGAAATACCACCCTTAAAGCAAAAACACCATCCATGAAGCTCAGTCCCCGTCTCGTCTCTACACACTCGATATCCAATTCACCCACTGACACCCACACCCACCATCACCACCATCAACCCCCCCGGCATCTTCAATCGTAGCATTCTTCGTCTCGCCAAGACCCTTAAAAAGCCCCGCAGCAGGATTAATAAGCTCACCACCAACAGCACGATCCTCAAGCTGCAGCTGCACGGCCGTGATATTGTAACGGCCGTCATCTTCGAGCGGGTAGCAGTAGACCATTTTCTTTTTCTCGGCGCCGCCGTGGCGGTCAACCGTTATTGTTACTGGGTATGGGAATGAGCCTGGGAACGTGAAGTCTGTTGCGGAGGATGACGATGTAGGTTCGTTTGTTGATGCTGTTGTTGTAGGCGAGGAGGTTGTGGTGCTTGTTGCTGTGTTGTTTGATTTTGGGAGGAGGTGACGGTTGATTTTGTCTGGTTGCGTCCAGATTTGGATTAGTAGACGGGTTTGGGACCATGTGCATCGGTATTTTGCGTTGGATTTTGAGGTTCCGCCGTTTGTGTCGGCGGTGGATGATTTGGTTTGGGAGGTTAGAAAGATGGATTTGTCAAAGTAGCTGTAGAAACCGTAGTGTTCGGTTGAGAGACCGCGGTTGTAGAGGCGGATTGGTTGGGATGAGGGGAGGGGGTAGAGCACTGCTGCGGATGGGGTTCCATCTGCGTTTTCTTCTGGCGCTGGGATTATGGATGAAATGTTGGGGTATGCGGTGCCGTTGGAGGTGTCAGAGCGGCGGTAAATGCTTGCCGAGGAGAGTGAGACTGGTGAGAGGAGGGACATATAGAAGGGTGTTTCTTCGCCGGCATACGGTGCAGTGTTGTTGTCTGTGTATTGGCCGAGGAAGCTCTGTTCTGCGTCTGTCGGGGCTGCAGGCGATGGGTTGAAAAGGTCGTCGCTCCTGATACGTAGTTTCGAGCTAGCAGTAGTGCTGTTACCGTACGTACCATTTCGGAAGCTGATGGCTACACGGAAACTGGGCTGGTTCGCGTTGTACGGCTCATTGGCAACCTGTTGGTCCTTGGGCAAAGCACAACTCCACATCGAAGAAGGAGTGATACAGGTTGATTTCTCAAGCTGCGGCTTCGTCCCAACAATTGTCGCGATGCCAGTCGGCATGGGCGGATAGCCTGTTAGGTTCAGCCACTGCGATTGAACCGGGGTATTGTGTCCTTTCCTTGTCAGTGTGATTGCTAGAATGGTGGCTAGCGTCACGATGATGAAGAAGAAAATGCAGATCACGAAATACCATCTTCGTCGAATACGACCCTCGCGTCCTGGTCGTCCGCTCTTCTTGCTGAATAGACCTCGGCCACGCCAGAGATTGCAGACTCTTCGGCCAGTGGCGTCTTCCTTTTCGAGTCTTCGGCGTCGGGCCTCATGAGGACCTATCGCGCCGCTTGGGTTGACACTCGAAACTCCAGCTGCAGGGTCATTATCATAATGTGGCTGGGTATCATAACGAGGTGGGAGAGGAGCTTGTCTAGGGCATTGTGTGTATGCAGGGGCCGGAGCCTGCATATCTGACATTGGGATCGAGCCAGGTCCACCAGCGGCACGGTGGAAACCGGGAGAGATAGGCTCAGAGGGTTGTAAATTCCCCTGAAGAGGCCCAACCTCAGACCTTTGAGGCAGCCCCCGTTCTGTTTGAGACTCCTCAGATCCAGGCTGCCGATCCTGAGTCACGGACACTTGGGATTGATCTTGCTGATGCTGAACCTCCGATTCAGTGGGCTGGGTTTGTGGCAGAGGCGGCACAGGCGGTGCATTTGAGTGAGGATGTGCGGTTAGACCAAATGGCCACCCAGAACCAGATTGCCGTCCCTGGATAACAAGTGGCCCTTGAGGCTGGGCTGCCCGACCATAAGTCACCTGTCGTGTCTGGGGAGCAGCCTGTCCATATGTGATTTGGGATTGTTGAGGTGATGTCTGTGTAACAGGAAGTCCTTGCAGTTGTCCACGTGGTTGTCCATGTGGTTGTCCTTGTGGTTCTTCTTGTTGGGTATAAGCCCACTCAAACCCGGAGAAAGGTCCTTGGGTAGCTGGCTGTTGAACCTTTGGTTGCCCTTGTGGCTGTCCCCATGGCCATTCTGACCTCGGTGTTGCTACTTGAGGGGCTGGTACTGGCTGGACCATCGGCGCTTCCGAGATTTCTCGTGGCAATTCCTGCGGTTGAGGTTGTTGAATTATCGGCTCCATTGGCTGTGCAGCCTGAGGAGCGAAGACTGGCACATATTGCACCGTCGGCTGCGGAGGTTGCATTTGAGGCTGCGGTGGAGGCGTAGTGTAATGGAAATTAGTAACCGGGGGCGAGATATTAGTGATTATCTGCGGAGCGGGAGGGTGAGTTGGCTCAGGCATTGGGATAGGAGCTGGCGCAGGAGCGGGAGCTGGCTCAGTAGCGGGAGCTGGCTCAGGCATTGGAATAGGAGCTGGTGCATGCGCCGACGGTTCCGAAACTTGTCTATCAACCACCTCTGCAGGTGGAGCAACAACAGGAACAGGAACAGGAGCTAGAGGTGGAGGCGAAGCAGCACGCTGAGAACGAGATTCCGAAACACCCCTAGTCCCATGCGTGGCTACCGAACCCTTATCCTTCTCATCCTCATCAACAACAGACGAATCCCACGTATGAGAACTGAACTCCGACGAAGGGGACAGAACCTGCATCTCCTTCGCACGAACTGCATACCCAACCGGAACCGACGACTTGGTTGTCTCAGGACGAGGCGAGTCGATATCAATAAGCAGTCCAGCATTCTTAGTCGACCTCGTTGACGGACCTGGATTCTGGATTTCATTTTCGCGCATCCCTTCAAGACCAGATACCCCAGGCTCCTCAACTCCAACAAGCGCAAGTCCCCGACCACTCTCTGCAGACGGATTTATAGCTCCTGCTGGCACAGCAATGGGATTGACAGGCGTAATCGAGCAGACGTGATTGACACACTCGAAATACGGCGTCTTACTGAATAACTCGTGCGCGCAGGCTTGGTAGTACTCAGCTGCTTCACCCTGGATTGTCTGGTTATTGCTGAACATGAATGACATGGTATTTTGTCTACTTGAGACGTTTGAGACGTATGCCGGTGGTGGGGATTGGTGGCGTTCGGGGCCTTGGTATTGGTCTGCTTCAAATGAGCGGGATATCTCGAATGCCTTTTCGCCGATTGGTGCTGCGGTCTCTGGTGTATCAGGTGAGAAACAGGAGATTTCTTTCTCGTGTGGTATCCATTCTTTTCGCTCAGGCGGGCGGGTTGTGGTTGTTGTTGTTGTTGATAAGGTGGATGGTGATTCTTGTGGGAAGGTTGGGCTTAGGGGGGATTTTATGGATCGGCCGAGCAGTGGGGAGAGGAGGTATGTCCACCAGCCTTGTGAATGGGGTCTGTCTGCGTCTGCCTGGGTGTTGACACTGAGACGGCCCTGTTCCTGACTTTTTGGGGTTGGGCGGACTGTCTCCGGTGACCGAGGTGGACTGTCGTCTTCCCAGATTGAGGCTGTTGAATTGGCGCGAACGTTCCTTTCTACGCCTATGTTCTGGTATCCGGTCTCTGAGGCGGGAGTTTTGGTAGCAGCTGAATGTTGTGCGGGAATGGCTGGCACGGGTGGGATATCTGCTTCATATTGCCAGAGACGGGGTGTTGGCTGCGAGTAGATACTTGACGTTGCTCTTGGACGGAGCATCTCCGTGCTCGAGTTTGAGTGTGCGTTCCATGGTGCCTCGCCTCTTGCTGGGGTGACGATAATTGATGGTGTGAGCGGGGTGCCTGCGCTGTCGAGCTCTTGTGATCTCTCTACTGACTCGCTGCGAGGCACAGTGAGTCCGATCATGACATGGCGGTCTGATGGCGAGAGCGTATTCTCGTGTCTATCGTGGAACGGATTTTCATCTCTCGCGGTTAGAAACGAGGTTCCACTTCCATTTTGGCTGTTTGTCTCGGGTAACCGCTGAAATCCCCGTGAAACCCTCCTCTTGAATGTATCCTTTGATTTCTGAGCAGTGCGTTCCTTCTCTCGCACTTTTGAAAGGAGCTTCAGATCATTCAGATCAACGAACGGCGCAGCTGCACTTGGTTCTGCTGGAATCGACGGTTTCCTCGGCGCTGGCGCTAAGGTGAAATCCGTAACTAGGTTCAGGCCGACTGGTTTCCCGACGCTTTTACGTTTCTTGGTGATGCGGATATTCAGTCTCGAGGATTCACGAGTGGAAATAGGCGAGCGATTCCTATCTTTGGTCTTCGCCTCGAGCTGTTGTCGTGTTGCCTTGGATAGAAATGCAAAGGGTCGGTCTCGTTCTTCCTGGTCATCCGAGGAGCATGAGGGACTTGAGATCTCTTCGCTGATAGGTGATGATAAAGGGAAGTTTGGTACTGGGACCTGGAGGTCTTGAGGCTTTCGTTTGAGCATGATGGTTTAGTAGACTTGACTGTCGAGATGTTAGTCTGCAGAGATGACAAGATTCGATAGATATGCATACCATGTGTCAGGAAAGCATGAAAGAAGGAAAAAGCAAGGAAGTGAAACAAAGCGTCGTCTATTAATATTATAGCAAGTAAAACAATGGGAGAAGGCAACAATAGACAACAGCGCTGAATAGAAGTTGATTGAGTCAAATGCAAGACGAGAGACAGAAGACAAGAAGACAGAAGACAGAAGACAAAAGACACAAAGAACTAAGAACTAAGAAAAGCCCCGAGATTTTAAATCAAGCTCTATTTCTGCATTTTCTGCATTTCTGCCGTTTCTGCATCATCACCGTGCAGATGCCAGAGAGTCCAGGCCGGTCACTGTACAGGACACAGCTCGAGCTATAAACAACCTGGCCAATAATCATCGTCGCTGGTGAATTTCTGCAGCGATCCCAGACAGCCCGCTGTAACTAGCTTCATGCTTCTTCTTGAAGGTCCGTTATTGGACGACTGGCAGAGAGATCACCAGGGGAAGCGGAAATGAAGGTGATGGATTGGATGCAAAGGTCAGACTGAGGCCGTTCACTACGCGCCGGACCGGGGGGGCGGGCGCTTCGAGGGGCCAATTAGTGGAGGGACAGAAATAGATCATATTATGATACTTATGATACTTATGATACTTATGATACTTATTATAATACTTATTTAAAGCAGGAATTTTCTTTCTGAAACAAAATGTGTTCGTGCTACTGTTTATATTATTTGAGATATGTCTATTTCCATGGGGAGATGTTGATACTCCACACACTATACTTCCTACTAGAAAGTGATGTTTTCGAATTGAAACATGAATATTCATATAATTCAGCTATTCCAGCTGTTCAATATTCCATATTCCCTCCTGTCGTATTCCATGTAGAGTGGCCCAAAAAAGAAAGAAAAAAAAAGGCAAAGCAATTGCGGGTATGAATAACAAAACATGAGAAAACAGACCACTCCAATAAGATAAAAAAAAAAGAATTTCAGTAGAAACCAATCCCCAAGTCGAAAAAAAATCGAACGGGAATCGTATCTATAAGAGGGATATATGATATCAAGAGAACAAAGTCCAAAACAAAGTCGTCGATGATAGGTTTTGCGTGACTAGTCATATCTCATACACAGCTTGAGCTCACACCAACCCGCTACCGCCGCTCATATTCAATACCCTGCATAGCTGCACTAGACCCATTCATAAGGGGCGGTAACGTGCGCGGCTGCTCCTGAGTCACGCCATTGCCGAACCCACCAAACACAGGGCCCTGGCCATTGACTTGGGTGGAGCTCATTTGGTGGTGCTCAAAGATGGATGGGGGCCGGGAAGCGTTGGCTTGCTGGTTGAGTTGGGCGCGCATCTCATCCATCTCGGACTGCATGACGGCCCGATCGCGCTGGGATTGTGCAACGGTTTTCTCCAACATCGCTATATAATCAATTGCCCGGGTGAGCGTTTCCCATTTGCTGGATTTGTTGGTTTGACCTGGTGGTAGACGCAGTCGGAGCGCTTCGAAACAGTCTTTCATTTCGCTGCGCCGTTTGCGCTCGGCGAGTTTGTGCGTTACGCGTAGTTCGGGCGTGCGGCTGTACGGGGTGCTGCCGGGCGGTCCGTCTTCTTCGCCGATCAACTCTCGCACGGCCTTGTGTTGGAGGGAGTGGTGGTGGTGTACATTTTGGGGTAAGTCTGAGAGATGGTTAGTATTTGCGCGTGCAGGTTGTGTTCCATTGTGGCGGAATCATACCGTGCTGTCCTCGTGGCATCCGTTCCGAGTACATGCTGTTCATAGACTCCGCCATGCTTCCTTTTCGGGAGAACGGAGGATTGGACTCTCCCTTCGAGGAGACGGAGCTTGAGCGCGCCATGTCCGGGTCGGGGAAGGCATATGCCATACCCGCCGTGGGTGCTTCGGCGTTGTAAATCTCCGACCGAGGATTCGAGGAAATGGCCGGAGCGGTGCGACCGGCTGCGAAACTCCGCTGTTGGTCGGTTGCGCGAGGGCCCAACGGAGAAAGTGGCTGGCTGCCTCCTGAGTACCGAGGTCCCCGGTATGAATTCATGTCGGTCGGAATGCCTCGTTCCCTTTGTAGACTTGAGACGATCGACGATTGGGACGCGTTGGTGCTGTGGTAGGGCGAGGCTGGGTTGATGGCGAGAGAACTGATTCCTTGGTTCATGCGACTGTCGACACTGCTGCGCCGGGATTCAGTCGTCTCGGCCACACTCGTTCGTTGGGAGGGGGCTTCGTAGTTCTGGTTGATGGAGGGGAGTGTGGAGTTTGGCTGGCTGAAGTTTGGAGAGGGCTGTTGGGTGCCAGCGGAGGAAGGCGTGGTGGATTGATCGTGGGGGTAAGGAGAGCGATCGATAGCCGGGTGTCCGCGATTCGGGGGAGGGTTGCGACGCGGATATGAAGCTGAGTGAGGGATAATTGTTGCCAGTGCCATTGGTCGCCGTGGAGTAGGTGGACGATCCTACATGGTCAGCACCGCGCCGCTCCCATTCCATACTAGGTGAGGGTCTCCTACTTGTGCTTTGCGGCATTGACCAATTCCCCGAGTCACGCTCGATCGTGTTCAGTGAGCCGTTCCCGGGGGATTTCTCCGCAGAGGCTCCGGTACCAGGCATATTCGCGGTGAGGGTCGAGATGGAAGGGAGGGTTTGCGTTGAGCCTGCAGTAGACTGAGGCCCTGAGACTGCCTCCCATGGGCGATGTGCGACAGAGGGATCCATGGTGGGAGAGTCTGAATCAGGCGGGGGGAACCAGTGAAGAAGAATCGAATATCAACCCGCTCTTTTTTTATCCCCCACACTATCGCATATTCCAAATCGAGAGGGTAGAGATATCAATTCGAGAAACGATTCACCGTGAAACCGTTTCGTTGTGGTTGTAAAGTTTCGAGGTTCGCGCAACTTCGAGGTCAAAAGGAAGGCTAGATCGAACGTTAGACGTAAAGAGGTCAAGGCAACACAGATCAAGCTTACCGAAAGGAACGTGGCACGGAAGTGTAAAAGTATTATATAGAGTATTATGAAGGAAGTAGAAGAGAGTTAAGAGAGAGTGTAGAGAGTGTAGTTGAGAGTGGAGTGAGAGTCGAGAGATTAAAGAATAGAAAATTGGAGAGTCCAAACCCTCAAGTCTCTGAAACTCCTCTTTTCTTTTTTTTCCTTTTTTTTCTTAACCTTCTTTTTTAGCATCCCCTTTCTTAAGATTAAAATTTAAAAAAAAAAATAGAAATAAAATATATAAAATATATATAAAAGAAAAGAAAAACAAAAAGGAAATTCAAAAGAATGTACTGGTATTACCGCCAAGGCCCTACTGCAACTGTGTGCCACGAGGCTGACCCTGGGGAGTAAGGACTATACTTATACCTATTAGGTACTATTACTCTATTAACACTATTAACCCTATTAATATTATTAACCTGGTGTTTTTCTCTCAATGATCACTATTCTCTATTGTATATTTCCATATCTATAAACTACATATTCAGACATATACATCACTACTAATAATAGTGACATTCCTGAAGAAAGATCCCTAGAAAAAGCAAGGAGAACACGTTTCGTTGCATTCAAGTCTTCACGTCATCTTTTTTTTTGTGGATTTCATTGAATTTGTATATATACTAGAATACTAGAATACTAGAATACTATTGTTACAATACACATTCACGTGGCTCTCTCTCCCTTGCAGTCTCTTCCTACTTATTGGAGTCTCCTTCTCTTTCTATCCAGTCAAGCTGCATTCGCGACCGGGGCTAACTGCACAATCCCGTTTAGGAGATTAAGTACTGTAAGTACGAGTACGGACAGTATAAACAATACACATAAAATAATAAAAAAGAACCATGTTAACGTTGGACACATGGCATGAGAATGCAGGGTTGATCGGTAGTCTCGGGGGCCAAATAGGTGCAAATACATCTTCTTTTCTGTTTGTTCGGGAGATTGGGCAGAGTCCCAAGTACCGAGTACAGAACTCCATCCCTGCTAGTTTAATCCTTGTCCTCCATGCGAATAAACATTTCTTTTCTTCAGTCCCACACATGGCATCTGTTGGGGTCTCCTTTACTCACCGAAGGTACGTTTGATCACCCACGTATATGTTGTATATATATTTCTTTATCTTCCCAGGTTATAACCTTTATATTATATTTCTCCCCAAGGTTAATTCTTAATTCTAGTATATTTATGTATATATTACCCTCTAGCTAAAACATGATCCACTTTCTCCCCTACATATTTTCTGTTTGTAACACCTCGGACACAGACAGAAAAGTGTGTCATGGATCACCCACGCTTCCATGAGCTTGAGCTTGATACCGCAAACCTGCAACCACCCGTCGCTGCCGCCCAAATCACATGTTGACCTGTCAGAGTCAGAGCCACGGGTAGGACAGAGTACTATGTCGCGCGGCTATTTTCACCTATTCACGGGGCTGTTGAGGGTAATGTCCCGGTTCCGAACAGCCCAGTGTGACCTTGGAGTCTTGGCGAATATGACCAAGCTTATCTTGTTCTAGTTGTTTTGGATCTGGATCTGCCCTATATGTTGATTCACCTACGTACATAATAGGCATCGGTTACTATTCTATAGTATTCCATAGTACAATATAGTTTCATATTCTATTTCTAGAAAGATAGTCATTGAGACAATGGGGATATTCAACCAAGGGGGTTTACGCCACTACAATCGCGGAACCGCGTTGCCTGAACCAGGTGGCTTTGGGGGTTGATGTGTCGATTTGATCTTTCCGTTTGATCGGGTGTTCGTCCAGAAATAGATCTACAACTGTAACATGTAAATATAAAATACATACATAAAATACATAAAATACACTAAACCCCAAAATTTAAACAAAAATGAAAATGAAAATGCAAAAATGAAATGCGTCGGCCAAACCGACGGTCTAGCCGACACCGCCACACTGTGGCTGCAATAATACGTCTTCCTTTATCCACCTGAGCACTCTCCACACTGCACCCAAGGCTATAGCAATCTAGGCAGAAATTCAATAAATTCAATATAACCATATGCATGTCAAGTACCGTCCATCATCTTCCCCTTCTAGCATGCCACATGGCACCATCGTCGCCTTACAGAATGTCTTGAAGATCGCCACCCGATCTACGGCACATTCCTCGAACCTCTGATACGGTAGCACTTCTCCATACTTGACGAAAGGACACTGCTTATCTGAGACTCCAAGCTCGATCTCTGCCAAACAGCTGCTCCCCCCGGGAAAAAAAAAACGATCCAAAAAAAAAACGGTCCACAACGGGAATTCTGAGTACCACTCCATCTCTACAACGTTGTGCATCCTCGCCAACCTGCCTAATCTCGATCAAGGGATGGGCATCATTAATTGTCGAGCTTAGAGTTTGTCATGTCAATAGTGCGTGGCGAATGCGAATCCCTCCTTTTCTCATGGCTCATGGCTCGCCCATGGCAATCACCCATGCTCTCCCATCTCCCATCATGGCAATACCGTGGCCCTTGCCCATTCCTGCATCCACGCCTCTTTTGAGGGTCGTGCTCGTGGACCGTGCCTTGCTGCCCTTTCTCAATAGTCTGTCTTGACACACGGATCGTACCGTCCAGGGATGTAGATACTTTTTTTCCCCTATCTCTTTTCTTTTTCCATTTGCCTCTTCAATTCCAATTCCAGCTCATGTTCCCTCACATGGAAGTAGCCCCTTCCTGCAAATAATGGTCTATAATATGACTTTGTTTAAATAGTGTCCTGATAGTCTTCAGAAAAAGTCTACAGAATTTAATCCGATCCCGTGCCTCTATGCGTTCTGCACTACTACCCACTACTTAGTTATATATATGTATGCAACATACGGAGAACATTGCACATAATTGCCTATTTGCATATGTATGTACGGTGTACTGGACGGAGTACCTCCCAACTCAAACTCCCCTGCCGACGATCCTCGCACCGGCTCCCGTCCCCCGAAGCTGGGGAGCGCACGGCCAAAGCTTAGAGGTTACATGCGAAAAAGGTTAGAAAATATCATACCGGGGGCTTTCAACTAGAATGTAAGCACGGATTCAATAATCAATTATCGTCGAAGATATCCAGTGAGGCTAGAAACCTCCTGTTTTGTCCATCCGTAACTTCCGCCGGCGTGTCGCCCCCAACCACCGCCGTAGCACAACTATTTTGTACCCACCCGGGCATCAAGTAGTTTCTTATACACCCCACTGAAACAATATTGGCGCTCGGCATTGAGATGATTTTGTTTCAGCTCCACCGATGAAAATAACACCAAAATGGCTTCCCACAATGTTCAACATTGGTGCCGTCTAATATCGCCCAACGTCGTTTGATCATATAAAATGCCCTCTCCCCTTCTCCCCCCTCCTTACACATGATACCACCATAGTCAACTTAAACTTTCCACATAACATGTAGAATCTCAAACCTGACTCCCACAGTTCCTCTCAACCGTCCGCCTCCCCAGGCTCTTATTCCGAAACGTGAGGTTTCTCGCCTCGGCTTCGATATCATACACACTGCTAGTGAGCATGATATACCCTTCGTCATCCAGCGCAAAGAGAGCTCCCTTGAGCCATACTCGGCAAGTGATTCTCTCGCGGAATCGCACCGAATCGAATATTGGGATCTGACGAAGACGTTCGAGAAAATACGCGTGCAGTACAGGGTCTAACACTCCTATCTTAAGGGCCCGGAGAAGCAATGGATCGTAGACAAACGTCTGTTTGGATAGATGTTCGAAGCACCAGATGGTTGAGTCGATGTCGTTTAGTAGATGGTAGATAGAGCCTGATGTTGTATTCTGGTGTAGATAGAGGCGCCAGTGGAATGTGCAGCTCTTATCACCAGTCACATAAGAGGATATAGAGGCCGTTTATTTCATAGGTGGGATGTGGTGCGTCTATGTCGGACTGATCGGTGTGCTCTACTACGCTTGTTCTACATCTAGCGCTTAATCCGAGTAGTTCATTGGTGTGGTTTAATCTTGGGTGTTTCGCGTTTAAGTTGAACTCCCAGGGTTCCAAATAGGACGACTAGATGAGCACCAGCCACAGTATAGAATATCCATTAGCCTAATAATGTAATACATAATAAGAGGAATTATTGGAACTAAAACACGACCCTGCTGGTACCTGGACCCGTGATCCCAGTCTATGTTGTAGTGTCTCAGACTCCCAGGTGTCGAAGGGATCCATCCATGGCCCCTCTTCGGACCACTTTTCTCCAACCTCGGCCCATCCCGTCGAACACAAGTCCATTCGACAAATCATCATCAAAAATAGAGAGAATAGAGAATAGAGATAACCCTCAAGATCGACGCGACGATCTGGCTTGAATCCACCCGGTCGCAACTGACCACTCCATTTACTGGCCTCCGGATGAGGTCACTAACCTGGAATATGGTACTATACTATTATAGGAAAGGATCGACTCCCCAACGGCTGCTCAGCACAAGTCCTGCAAGCCCTGTAAACCCTGCAAGCCCTGCGAGTTCAAACTCAGCCGAAGGCAAATTGTTCCCACCTAACCGCCATTCGAAGATGAGGTTACAGCTGCCTTTAGGTAACCACCATATCTGATACCCTAGTCAAGATCCGCAACAATCCACCGTACTTCATGTTATATCAGAAGCCTTCGGACATCCATCCGCCTCTGTCTGGATGATCCTACCATTAGTACTTCGCACCTTCGCCCCCGATAACCAGGTGTGATTGGCAGATCATTCCACGATCTCCCTCCCCTTAAATTCATCGTGGCATACCCCTTGCCTGCCAAAGCTCCACCCGGATCCATCCTGCTCTCGTTCTCGGTTTAGGTGCTGTCGCGTGTCGAATGTTAAACAGACCCTGTGCTCTGTAGGAAGGGGGGGGGGAACTTAATACCCCCGGTGGAGTAGAGTTGCCATACCGTCCCAATCATGTCTTGTCTTGCATCATGAGAATTCCACGGGGAATCGTCGCCGCTTCCCAGGTTACCTCCTTGCTGGATATGCGGATATGTGGATATTTTTTGCGCCATGTGTACCTCTCCCTTTTTTTTCTAGGTTGAGGTACGGAACACTACATGCATCCTACATGTGCACTACGACATAATGCAACATAATGTTGTATAGGGCTAAGAGCCTCCTCCACTTGTGTACATATTTTGTGGTTTTGCTTTAGATTTGCATTCATATACTTTTCGTCGCATCTCCCCCCACTGCTAAGATTGGCTGTAACATAATATTATGTTTTGTTTTTCCTGTATCGGAAATCATCGGAAATAGTCCTTAATAGTCCTTAATTAATATTCAATTATTCCTTCCTTGCTGTGTCTCGGATCTTTTCGCCTAAGGCCCATTTATTCCGCCATGTGCTTGTTTCAGTTCGCGCCAGGTGCGGGATCGTCCCGCGTGTCTTATGGGTTTCAATTGGCGCTTTGAGTGATGGCAGTGTTTATTTGTAGAATTCGCTTAGATTTCACCCTGTTGCTAGGCGATGGGAATTTGAATTCTTAATGTGCATCATCGTATATTGTGGCCTGGTTGTAGATTGAATGTTGAACTCAACGAATTGGTTGGAAATACAAATATATATCCGTGGAAATATTGGTCTAACCCCACTGCGGAAATCATGATGCAGCTGCTACGAGCCCTTTCTTGTCATTTTCGGGTTTACCTTTTCAGAAGGCTTACTTTGCAAATGAAAGAATTTAGCAATTCCTTATTCTTTTACCCCTTTTCCTATTTTTTTGTCTACTCGTTCACCCCCTCGTGGCTTGAGGACCTCATGAAATGTGAAGATGGAGTATGTACAATGTATATGACAATGGCTCGCTAGTCTCATTTAATCGCCCGACTCGAATTGCAACTTTGGTTCGCAATGTATTGAGAGAGCGTCAACGTTATCACACGACCTGACCGACAGAGTATTCCCACACGAACTCCCGCCCCTGTCTCGTATGTAGCGAATAATGATGGAACGGCCGGGCGATACTCCGAGGGAAGCCACATGAGCCTTTTCCCTCGATATGTTATCCAGGCGGTATCGTAACTCAGGCCATATCCAATTTGCTGTTCCACGGCAGGGGGTAGATTGAGAGGGGAGGTCGAAATGAGCATATCATTGATCAAATCGAATGTACCAGCGAGAGTATGCAGGCGATTCGGGGTGTTTTTATCAAATTCGAGAAATGTGGGCAGGTCTTCACCAGCAGACATTTCATCGAAAGATTGCACGACAGGTAATTGAACATCAATTGATGAGATGTATTGTCCAGTGGCTGAATCCCGAACCGTGATGGCTAGATCCCAGATTTTGAAATCCTCATCCCTGCGTCTGTGTGTCATAGCTGCGAGCCAACGTCCATCCAGAGACCAGGAAATAGATAGCACTTCACCGTCACTCTCACCTAGGTCTGCTGTACATTGTCTGGTCTCCGGGTTCCAGATTTTGATTGTCTGGTCATCTGACCCCGACGCTAGTCTTCCATCCTGCGACCAGCGCAAGTGGAAAACTGGTCTTTCATGGCCCTCGAGAGTTGATATGCGTTCTCTAGTGACTGGGTCCCAGACACACACTTCCCCACTGTATGACCCAGATGCGAGCTGCTGGCTATCATGGGACCAGCCAATTGACGTAACATAACGGCTATCGAGGAGCATTGATGCGCAGCTAGCTATCGGATCCCAGATTCTTACTCCATCAAAGTATTCCGACGATGCAAGCCAGGCTCCATTTGGCGACCAGGAGAAGGTTCCCCCGGATGTTCCCTCCATGAGTCCGTCAAACTTTTGGAACGTTGATCTCGGCTGTTTGATGCTTGGATCCCAGATCCTAATTGCTCTTCCAGCTAATGCGATATGTCTTCCATCCAGAGACCACGCAAGTGAGGATCCACCTGAGCGATGTAACTCAAAAAATGACAAACAATCTCCAGTGGCTGCATCCCAGATTCGAACTGTGTTATCATCCACACTTCCTGACCTTGTCGCAAGTCGATTCCCATCCGGTGACCAGGAAATTGATTCAACCACGTCGCCGTGTTTCTCAACCCCCGATACACAATCCCCAGTCGCTATGTCCCAGATTTTGATTGTCTTGTCAGCTGATGCCAGTCGGCGTCCATCTGGAGACCAGTCAGTCGGACGAACAGGACCGCTATGTCCGCTGAGGATTGACAGACAAGCCCCATTGCTTGGGTCCCAGACTCTCACGGTCTCATCGTTTGATGTTGAAGCGAGTCGACTCGCGTCACGCGACCAGGAAATGGACCACACTGTACTGCTGTGATCCTCGAGATCGAAAATACATTGGCAGCTGACTGTATCCCATATTCGGATATTAGCCTCTGACACTGAGGCAAGTCGCCGACTAGGCGGCAACCAAGCCACCGAGCTAACGTTATTTTTATGCCCCTCAAGGATAGCTAAGCATTGTCCTGTGTTTGGGTCCCAAACTCTAACTGTTTTATCAAATGACCCTGATGCAAGTTGCATGAAATCTGGCGACCAGGCAATTGTACGTATTTGATTGCCATGTCCGCGGAGAGTTGATATGCATTGGCCGGTGACTGGATTCCAAATTCGGATAGTCTTATCGTTTGATGCCGAGGCAAGTCGCTCATCATGTTGTATCCAGGCAATAGAGTCAATAGAGTGCAGTTCATCTTCGTGGCCTCGAAGAACCGATATGCATTGTCCTGTGGTTGAGTCCCAGATTCTCGCAGTTTTATCTTTTGATGCTGATGCGAGGCGCCGGCCATCTTGGGACCAAGCAATACATGGGACGTCCAAATCATGACCTTCGAGTGTTTGAATGCATGCGCTCCAGTCATCTTCGATTGATGGCCCGTGGACAATCCAGTCTACTCTCTCCTTTTGGTAGCAAAGTTTGGTCATGCTCTGGGTGGGGCTGAATATCAGAGACGAACTGTATACCTGTAACGGGCCGCTCTCAATTCCCACCTTGTGGTATCGGATAAATCGAGAAGCGTCATGGACTCGTTGAAAGAAAGGTGATGATTTCTGGCTTTCCTATTATATTATAGTGCATTTAGTAAGATAAGATGCTCAACTCCAACTCAAGGTGACCACGAACCTTAAATAAACCCTCAAGCTTAAGCATTGCCTCTATGCCTCTTGGGACGTTTCTTATTAGACAAAGCGCTTCAATCCAGTGGAGGTATCTCTGCTGTAGAAAGGTGTCCACGGACTGGAGATGGTGGGGTTCAATAACTGCGCTCTCACTGCAATATCCACCTTGAAGATGATGAGCCCAATACTGACAAGAGTAGCGTGCTGCTGCTAATGGGTCTGGAATAGGCTGTGTAACGTCATCGATTTGTAGCCCTGGGAATGCGATGTCATATATATTATGACGAAGTGACCTAGACATAACATGTATGGAGCGGGAAAAGATTTCGTGGTGCTCGGCGGGTACACCTCTTGGGAAGACTTCATCCAGGGCCTTAGTAGTCAGGAAATCCTTTGCGGATTGATGAACAAAGAAGACGGTATTTTCACGTAATGTGAGAAAGGAGCCACATAGTCTTATAATGTCCGAAAGAAAGTCGTCCGGTGGGACGTCGTCGTCATCTATCGAGACCCCGTCAGGCATATCGACCAAGCCCACTAGTTCATTCAATGTGATGGGTCGGTAGACGGTTGAAGCTACACCAAGTATTCTGTTGCAGAGCTCTGCATCTTCGGAGTCCCGAATCTGCTGCAGCATTCGCCCATAGAGGGAATCAAGTCCAGGCGGAAAGGAAGTCAGTAGCTTAGGAGTATTCCAAGGTCTGGCCTTGGCGAGCTCTTCATACACCAATGCTACCCAAAGGAAGGTGTCTTGGGAGTTCAACATAAGATGATTAGCGACAATGTCTCGCACGGCAGGCTTATACTTCTTTTTCTCTGCCAACTGCTGGACTTTAAACTGAATGTAGATAGCAACGGCCTCGG